TTTTGCCAAATTTGGGCAAATTTTGACTTATTTTTCATCACTTTTCACATTGTTATATTGGATAGATTCTATACTATAATTCTTACTTCTTTATTATACTAAAGTCAGACATTCTGTATTATTTTAGTATTGAGTTATTGTTAATTGTCCTTGTGCTGTGTGGATCCTCCTTCCCACTGTTCTGTAACTTGTGATGCAACACTGAAATCCACTGTATCTACATGTCACTTTGCCTAAAACCAGTGGTGGAGAGTTTCACTAAAGTTTTGTAAATGTTTTTTCCCGGTATCAGTTACTTACTTTACTTTAGTATTTTTCTGCAACTTTCTACACGTTTTACAGCGACATGTTACTTTGCATATTACACAAACAGGTTTGAAGAGATTAGACGCGCCTCGAGGTTCACATAAATATTTGGCTTTAGTTCTTTAAATCATGTCATGTTACAGTATGTGTCTTACAGAACACGACTACAACACTACAATGTTGTTTATGTGCTTCAAAGGCAAAGGTTTGGAATACACAAATTGTCTGTCTATTAAACAAGGCACTATTTGACTCTTAAAGCTGGGAGCTGATTGGCTGAGTGAGGGCAGTCCTTTCTTTTTCCCCTTTCTCAAAAACGGATCCAGAGATGTGACAGAGGCCAAATACAGTGGTCTAGTTTGAAAGTTACGTCCCCCAGCTTTAAGTGGCAGGCATGACTTCAGTTGTGATTCACTCCAGTGGCATGACAACACAATTGTAGTTAGTGTGGATGCCATTGTTGTGTGAGTCTCCTGGACATGTGTGGACATATGTGCGTGTGTCAGAGAGAGGTAATTGGCCGAGGGGTGGGTGTGTGTGTGTGTGTGTGCGTGTGTGAGTTTGTGCGTGCATGTCTGTGTGCATGCGTCTTGCGTGTGTGTGTGTCTAGGTGTATTTGTGTGTTCTAGTTTGTATGTGTGTGTGTGAGTGAGTGATTGTGATGTTATATGTATGTGTGTAGTACGTGTATGTATGTACGAGTGTGTGCGCATTGTGTGTACGTTTGTGGGTGAGTGTGTATATGTTTGTGCATGTGTGTATGTGTGAGTGAGTGAGTGATTGTGTGTGTACGTGTGTCTGAACTGGATACTACTGAGATTAGGCCAGCAGATGCATTTAAGAGCACAGGAAAAAGCCACGCTCATATCAGACACAAATGTTTATAGACACATATATTATTTGGACGACTCACTCTTTTTGATATTAACATATTTTTGCAATGTTAATATCAGAAATAAAGCACCATGTTTGCTTTTAAACATGGTGCTATTAATTCCACTGAAAACTGTTCCGAAGTTTGCGTGCAAAGGAAAATTAACGAGGTGCCTTTGAAAGCGTCACAAGGCTCTGTGCATGTTGACTGGGACCAGAGAAGCCAGACCGGTTTAGGGGCAAAGCAGAATAGTAATATAATTATTATTATAATTTTTTTTTTTTTTGCGTACACAGGTATTGTTATACTTTGTAAATGTACTCACTGACCTATAGACCCCTCAAACCAACACTGGGGCTTTCTGTTGCCATGGTACGAAGTTGCACGTCTGCTAAAAAATTCATTGTTTTGGTATTTTCAGCATCATCATCATCATCATTCTTCTCCTTCTTCTTCTTCTTCTTATATTTTTACTTTTGAACAATTAACCATGCTATGTTTTTATTGAACATTATAAAGGCTACATAACATAACCATGATATGAAAAATAATACACATATAAAACATATTTCAGACAATTTTCGTACACAATGAGAAGTTAGTTTACTTTGTTTACGGAACAGGGACCCATTAGTGTTCACGCAAGAAGAGATTGAAAAAATACATTTAAGTGAGTAAAGTTTATTAGCACTTTTCACAGACCAGGATCACAAAGCGCTTCCCATTTAAAACATACGCAACCTACTTTCCAGATTTTTATTTATTTTCATTGATGTACAAAACACCAATAATGTCTTATCATTTATAAAACAGTACAAATAAATAAACGCTGACACAATTCTAATATCTACCCAAACAAAATGGGCTTTTTCAATTCGAGTTTCCAGAAAGTTGCAAGCTCTTCTGACCATTTCAGTCTTGTGTGGAAGCTGCCGTATATCATTATCAGTCTAATATCGCTTTCATAAAACGGTCAGTGATGCAGTTCCTATCCGCCTTTATTCCAAATGACAGAACCTGACATATAAGTGGTAATGCCCCACCATCAAAGTCCCTGGAACGGCTTGTTATTGCCGCCAAAGCAGACGAAGAGGTGATCTCACTCGGACATGTACCGTATCCAATGTCCCGCTCTGTTTGATCTGACAAAGAATCAAACAAGAAAAGCACAGTCATTTCCTGCTCCATCTTTTAATCTTCGCACTTCTAATTACAGGCATCAAGGTGTATTTGGGAAGATTCAGCGGCGACACCAGCAGAGACACCCGGGCATTGCTCAACCCGGGGCGCAGGAAATGTTGCCGTGCTGTGAACCAAATCCTTCTGTGCAATTGCATCACGAAAAAAAAAAAAGAAACAAAGTTGAACGCTGCAGAAGAGTTGGCCGCAGTGGATAAATCTGTGTGTGCATTGGGAAAGATATAGTAATTAGAGGCTTTAGCGCAGCAAGAGAACCGCTTTAACATCAAGGCCCAACTTTGTAATTAGTAACTAGCCGCGCAACACCGACACGTATAGACGCTAGCGGGCCCAGCGACTTCATTAAGCCTTTGTGTTGGGATGAAGTAATTTTTTTCCACAACAATTTGGTGGATCACTTTTTGAGTCACTATATCTACTTGAGGCTTGGAACTGAAATCTACCACTTTTGGGGGGATCTCTATCACTTGGTTTTAAGCACTTTTACCATCAAACTGCATCTCAACCATTTGGTAAAGGCCTATAATTATAACACTAGCGGTTTAAAAAAACAAAACAAAATACATTAAAAAAAAAAAAAAACTGTATTTGTCTTCCTATATCTTAGAAAATGAAATCAAAAGATGAATTCACATTGCTTTCTTGAAGGAGTTAAGGCAGGGGTGTCCAAACTTTTTAGTAAGAGGGCCACTTTAGTTCACCAAACTAGTAGTCCAGGGGCCGATATCACGGACTGAAAAACTGTCTTGACTGGCATCGGGCTGTATTGAGCCTTAAAATGATTTATCACAGAGCTGAAGTTGGCTGAATGACAAATGTTTACCATCTAACCCGCTACATTAGCAACATTAACGTCAGTGTGCAAATCAAGTCAACGACGTACTGGGCTTTATAACAAGGTCTATATTGGCTGAGTTGAAGTTGGATGGATGACACAGTGAACTTGTGTTTATGATCTCAAACTCTAAGGCCACATAAAATGACACATGGCCGCATTTGGCCCCCGGGCCTGAGTTTGGACATGCCTGAGGTAAAGGAATAGATGGCTATACAAAAGATCTGGCCTTGCTTAGGTCACAACGACCCGATTGCGTTACTACTTTGATTGTGTATCCGTGTCATGTTCTTTTTCGATGATGACACACATGACATTTCCATGTGTGACGTATGTGTGATGTAAACGTTGACTATAAAAACCATATCCTGATTACGTTGTGTCTGAAAAAAACCTGAAAAAACTTGGAAGAACTGAGAGAAACTGAAAAAACTTCCAGGTGGCTTTGGTGCGTAAAGATCCCGTCTCTGTGAGGTTAATTTCCCACAGAGTGAACGTTAAAGGGTTAAAGCTGGGGTACCTGGCTTTCAAACCTCAACAATGAAGCTTTATGATGTAATGCTAGCTCTCGTTAGCTAGTACTACATCACATACAGCCGTTCCATTGCTTTCAAAACTCACTTAATAAGCACACGCATGTATTTTTGGCCTTTGTCATTTCTTTCTATCAGCTAAATCAGACATAAAAGTGACGCAGACAGCCTCACCCTCACTCAGCCAATCAGCTCGCAGCCCAAAGCGTCCAATAGTGACTCCCAGGGGCTCTTTCTGACAAGCATACACACACAATAACATGTTTTCTAATCATTTGTAAGACAGTTGTGGTCGGATGTGTTCCCATAACAGTTTTCTCTTCTCCAAGCCTCTGTCTGTTGGGGCAAACAAAGTTAGGTTCCCCAGCTTTAAATGAGCATTGCATGTGATGATTGTGGCCCCAGAGAGTCCTGCGCTGTGATTGGCCGGAGCACGATGTGGCATGTCGAGCTCCAGTAATGCGTGTATGTTTGTTGTAAGTACTTATGTGTGCCTGCAGATACTTGGACGATTGTCTATAATGAGTGTGATTTAAATCCTCCCACACACAAAATGAGAAGGAATACTGGTGTTTATGCGTCAAAAGAACAGATTGTTGCAGTGGAATGTCACAGGTATTCGGCTCCAAAACAATTGTGCACTGAATTGAAACTGTTTGCCACCTAATCCACTCACGGTACATTGCATTCTACCAGTAAAGCCTTTAAAAACATACCAAGGAAATGGACAAAGTGATGGCCAGAAAGTTTAATAAAACAATATATTCACATTTTCTATACATGTAAATTAAAAATATAGTAATTTACAAAGTATTTAACATTAGGCTGTGTACACATTTACAATAGTGAGAACGAACCATGCAGCACCCGTGGAAATAATACCGGTGTTGACAAAATTCTAGATTTGTATTAAGTGCCACCTCTAACATAATTACAATACAGTAATTTACTGCAAACTGAGGCTTCAAGTTCCACAAAAGAGAAACAAAACAGCACTGCCATTTGGAACGACATCGATCTGAGAAGAGTTCTTAATGTCACTTTCAAACTTCCTCTTCCTGGTGTTTGTTGGTGCGACAGGATCAGTCCATCCTACACTTTCGCATCCCTCTGGGCGTATCTTCTTTCTCCGGAATAGTAGAAGTCATCCGGCGGCAATTTGTCAGCAGCTCGGCCGGAAAGAAGTGTGAGGTGTTGTGTGTCTGAGCGTCAGCATGAGATGAACACACACTGCAGCGATGGCACACAGGCATCAGCGTCTCTGGCAGGTGTGTAGGTTCCGGGCTCCTGTCCTGCTGACTGGGTGCTCCCTCTCCCCCCTCTCTCCCCTCTCTCCCCTCTCGGGCTTGCAGGCCAGGCCGTCTCCACAATCACAGCGCTGGAAGAGCTCCAGGCCATGGGTGCCTTTCCGTCTGTGGCGGGTGCAGACCTGGCCCTCGCTCAGCACAGGTTTACAGATACGAGACCAGAAGTGTCGGGCGCAGCACAGACCGTCGGAGCAGTCAGAGGAGCGCAGGCATGTGTCGCCCTCCAGACCTGAGGCACAGGACACAGGGTTAGGGTGAGGGAGGTACAGGAGCAGGACAGGAGGAGTACAGGAGGAAGACAGGATGAGTAAATGAGAAGTACAGGCAGAAGTACATGAAAAGTACATGCAGAAGTACATGAGAAGTGCATGATAAGTACATGCAGAAGTACATGAAAAGTACATGAGAAGTGCATGATAAGTACATGCAGACAGAGACATACCTTTGACGGCGTTGGGCTGGTGACTGTGAGACGTGGGCAGCTTTTTGCTGTGATGCTCCAGAGTGTTGTTGAGTTTGGGGTCAGTGGTGTCGATGTCGTTGGCCTGACACACACCTGCAGAACAACACACGTTAGAGAAGGTCCTGAACACTCTCCACAGCCATATAGATCCAGTCCATGGTTGAGGACAGAGTGAGTCAGGTGCGGTCCGCATGAAGGATGCTCACCGTTACTGCATCTGTTTCCAGCGCAGCACATGGAGTCCCGGGCGCAGCGCTTTCTGCTCTTGCGGCAGGGGACGCAGGCGCCGCGGACGTCATTACAGAACTCCTCTGCGCCGCAGTCTTCATCCTCCAGACACACGCCCGGGTGCTGCGAACCCAGACAACAGAGAATGTTATCAAACTGTATTTTCACCAAATGCCGTAGAACATCACGTATGCAGTGCGTGCCAGTTACGCACAGGAGAATAAGAGTTGCGTCGTACCTGGATGTTGTCATGGGGAGGCTTGTGTCCAGCGCTCTGCGAGGGGGACGTGCGCGGACTGGGGCTCACAGTGCCCGCTCCTTTAGCCCCAAAAGCCCCGGGCACGTTCTTGATGGCGTTAGAGTTCATGAGAACTGTCCCTGCGTAAACTTCCCCCAGGTATCCCAACAGAGAGAGGCACAGAGCCGCGACGCATCGCACTGACAGCTTCATTCTCAGTCACTGAGTCCGCGGAGAGCAGCTACAATCCTGTGCGTAAAGACAGACACGGTCCCAGTAGAATCCTGAGTCCACAGAGAGCAGTGATGGCGCTGGCTGCGGGTCTCCTGTGAACAGCGCGGGGATGATCCTTTATACATGTGGCGCTGTTTGTCTTCCCGCCCCTCGCTGTGCACAACAAAGGCGGAGAGTGGAATTTCAAAGAGCCTCATGCACTGTACGGAAATGGCCATCAATCCTCTGCTCTCGGAGCAGGACAGAGCAGGGCACTTCTCTGCGTCTTAGGGACATCATGACCAAAGTGTGACTGGTGCTCGTGGGAAAACGTCCATTTAGTGAAATTAATTAGAAAAGAAAGATTCAGTTTTTAGAATTACTAACTAAATGAGTCTTCCAATGTTCCCAAATGCATATGACGTCATGCTTGTTTTGAGACGGTGCAGAGACTTTACTTTCAGCCTAATGTTACTGTTTATTTACACATTTTGAAACTAAAATAAACATTGTCTAACGCACTTAAACGTAAGATTGTAATTGAGTCGTTTGTGACGCGGCTGTCATCGCAGGAGGCTGTGAGGAGAAGCTTGTTGGTTATTCCAATTGTTTTCTCACTCCGTATCGCGCCTTCCCTTTGGCGGTGTGAAAAGGCTGATTGAAGTTATTGGCGTCGATTAACTACTTCATTTGATCCTTGTGATTGCACAGGGGGCAATTACCCTCAGAGTGTGCGTGATTACACCCGCACGGACATCAATGTGGAGGAGATGCTGTGAAAAGTCACTGAATGAATGGACTTCCGCGGCTGACTGGCACTTGGAGATTAAAGGAGGCTCTGATGTGCTGAGCCCCGGGCCCAGGCCCCTCTCTGCGGCCTCTGTTTGTCACACACCCCGCAGTCCAAACACCAGCACACAACACGCACGCACGCACTCACACACACATACACACACAAACACACACACACAAACGGTCACCTGAGCCTCACAGGGGCTGCAGCTCGTCTGTTTAACAAACACATTGTCTGAGCAATTAGAACATTAGCAGAGATAAGCGCGCACTTGTAAGAGCTGCGTCTGCTCCACATCAGAGGTGAGAGGACAGAGGACATGTGACCGCCTCTGCTGAGACTATTAACGTCTCATCATGTCACTTTCAGGGGGAGTCTATCTATCTGTCTATATCTATCTATCTATCTATTTCTGTTACTCCAATGGCAATACTGATTTTGTGGAAGTCATTTGCAAAAAAGTTTGGACATTTGTCTTAAAGATGTATTCCTCTGATCCTCAACATGTTTGGTTATTGCCAGTGCATCTGCTCGAGAAGAGGTGAAACTTTATTGTTTGTATGGCACTGAACTAGTGCCAAAACTGTTACGTAAAGGACAAATTGTGAGCCTATGAACAATAGAAGGCCATGGCCTGTATAGTAGTACAAAAACAAGATAAAATAGAAGTACAAGACACACAATGTTCTTTGATTGTATATCTGCTACGATTGTGTATCCGTTGTTTTAGCTGACTGACGCCTGGGTTTGGCTCTTTCATGATGACGCAAATTCCAATATATAATGTTTCCCTGTTTATTGTTCTGCCTGAATCTACCACCTGTTGTGAATAAACTTCCAGGTTGCTCTGGTGTGCAAAGATCCCTGCCTATGCGTCTGATTTTCGACAAGCCTTTCACTTATTTTTTTCCAAATGGTTCATCAGTGTTTTTATTTTATTTTTTGCAAATGAATTATTCTTATGTGGACGTTGCAGATTACAAATGAATGACAAACTTGAAGAGAATCACGTCCAGTGCAGGCGGGTTTTTCTCTTAAAGTCAAAGGCAACAAACTCTAGTTGCATGAGAGGGCTTGTTTTTTTATTTTCCAACAATTAAGCCATCTCATGCATGCTTTTATATCTGTCGAAAAACAAGACAGAGACTACTCTTTTTTATGTGATGTGTATTAATTTGCACAGACAAAGAGAACAGAGACGTCATCCTTGAGATATTACGTAATGACGCAGATGCATATACTGAAGTAACAATGTGGGATCATACCAAATACGTTCAGTTCTTAATAATTGTTTATTAGTAATACAGATATAACAGAGGTCCAAAGTCCAACACTTGCACATATCTGTTATTTTATTATTAACTTACCAACGCAAATTCCTATTCCTAATTGATCTGTGTGTCTGTCTATGTATCTATCTATCTTGCAGCTAATGCCAAAGCACATTCCAAGCCTGTGCCTCCCTGTTACTTATGGCAATACAAATAATTGTGATAAAGTGGAGTTGAGTTGCGAGCAGAGGACGCGCGGCCCACTTTGCATTGCGTGCTGCGTATCTTTTGAAGTGCAGCGTTTATCTCCACTTTAGTAAATGTCAGTGTTGGTAACAGGGGCGCTCCTTGGATTCACTTTGATCCTCTTTGATGCCGTAGAAGTGTCACCCTGTCTGCTGCCATCTCCTGCCCTTCTTTCCGCGCCTTTGCCCCATGCACGGAGGATGACACACGTCCCGACCGTCGCCTCTCCACGTGATTTTATTCTTCTCATGAATTCTAGGCCTTTTTCTGCTGTTATTATAATAGATCCATGCTCTTTCTGCACTGTCTGCACACTGCTGTAGTGAGATCAGGTGAACGGGCTGGAGACACATCTGACCCACAGCGCCCTCTCTTGGATTAAACACGACATTGCTTTTCAAAATAGCAAAATATCAACTGTGTGTGTATGCCGTTTCCCCATATGCTCAAATTGTATGCATTATTCGTTCCATAGAATTGTGAATATAGATTTATAAAGCACTTATGCATATTTGTTTATTTCTTGGTCTATTCTGATTATGTTATAGCAGTGTTTTCAATCTTTTACCAAAAATACTTATTTTCTCAATATGGGCTTCCCTGAGGTTTCTTACACTGGCTTTTTGACTTCCTTGCCAATGCAGTAGGGTCTACTGATGATAAGGACTTTTATGGACATTGGTATGTAAGTAAGTAAGTACGTTTTATTTATATAGCACATTTTAAGATATAAAATGCTGTACAAAATATTCAGAATTCAGATATTGTTTCATTTTCTGCACACGGTGATGACAGAAGCGAGAAACAGAACACACTGGCAAAGCCCCAAACCAACACCATCCATTCACTCACTCATTACATTCAGATCTAGTGTTTTTATTTTTTGGTTCGCCCCAAAAGGACCAACAGCTCCTACGTGTTTGATATGAATGTATTTCCTGTGTTTTAATTCTCTGATCTGTGTTGAGGAATCGACAACTTTGTAAAGACTGTGAGTATTAGATAGCAATATGGCCTACGTGCAGGACTCTACAAGGACTTTGATTATTTTGACTATGATGTGACTGTCTCTGTGTGACACGTATGTCTTCTGATGTGTGACGTGACAATGACTATATAAACTGTGTACTGCCTTTATTCTGTCTGAGAGAAAGAAGCAAAGGAAACCACTGGAACTTGAGAGAAACTTAAATAAACTTCCAGAGTTTGGCGCACTACGATCCGTCTCTGTCTGCTTCATCCCTGACAAGTGCTTAGAGACGACTGCTGCCGTGATTTAGGGCAAAAATACCTTTATTTGAACTGAATCCAATAGTTGCTGAGTGTTAAATCCGACCTGAGGTTTCAAACTGGTGCAAGTTCTGGAGCATCGGTCTTCCTTAAGTCTCCCTGGACTCTTCTTCATGGAGCCACTATGACATATTTAACTGAGACGGGCATATCACAAGGTCACAAACTCTTCTACACAAAACACACAATGCTCACCCCAAAATGTTTTATTATTCTATATTTAAAAAAAAAAGTTAACACGTGGCACTCTGCAAATATAATTTACCGCAAAACATAAGAGAACAAAAATACCAGATAACATAGAACTGGATGTTTGACAAGAGATATACAGTTCATAAATGAAGCGGAGTGGACACTATGGGGATAAATAATGGATAAATGAGTACAATCTGACATAGTATTTTCTTTATGAGTGATTCTAGATTGTCATCGTTACAGTCGCCGTTTTAGCTGCAAATCATCCCTGCCCTCGGCCTCAGACGTGTGAACACTCTGCTGTCGTGGCTCATGTCAGACACGTAGAGAAAGGCCTGTCAGTGCAGCACATGTGAGTTCTCTATGTTCGCATCCTATAAAACTCTATGTTCCCTACAGAGTTTGAATGTCGTCCAGTGAGTGGAAAGTTGAAAAAGTTCTGGTCTTAATCAAGTCTATTAGAAAAGAGAAAAGCAGCTCCCTAAGAAGACACAGAAGTGCGTGTGCACGCTTGTGTGTGTGTGTGTGTGTATGTGTGCGCTTGTGTACGTGTGTGTACACGTGTGTACAGTATGTGTGCATATGTGTGTACATATGAGTGTGTGTATAGGTGTGTGTTTGTGTGTACACAGGTGTAGGTGTGTGTGTGTGTGTAGATGCAGCATTGAAGGAGAACTGGGAGGTGAGACTTTTGGATGCCATTGAAGTAAGGCACTTACACAGTTCAGATTAGATGATTGATTTGGTGATGGATTATGGAGTCATGATTGTGTTGTTCTTGTGTATTCTAGTACATAGTACTAAGAGGGAATTTATACAATGCTCTAAACAACTACTTAAACACACAACACATCTCATCTTGAGCACGTTTGATTATGTACATCAGCTAAAGTGCAGGGGCCGGCAGTCGAAAGATCCCCGAGGCCTCACTCACAATTCACTCCAAGAATGTTGTCTGTGTTAAATTACTCCAAAATACACAAATACAAATGAATGTTGGTTGTAATAAGTGGCAATCTCAAAATGTAGTAATTTTATCAAAATATTAGATTTGATTTGAATTCCAAGTGCTTCCCTGCAGTACCTCTATTGCCCCCCAGGGGACCCTGGACGCCTCTTTTGGAAGCACATTTAACCCTGATGAAAAACAAATATTTAAATCCTCAGAATGAGATGTGTCTTGTGCCTTGAAATCGTTTTATATAAATATTCTCGTTGCATTGTTTGTGTGAGATGGACGTGCAGCTAAATGTTGTTGATTGGGAGTCAGCTCAGAGAATGAATGTTACAAACTAAAACACACCCACTTATCACTGTTCAATATAATTCAAAATCCACTGAATTAAGTAACAAACATGTCAAACATGTGACAAAGAGCAAAGGAAACAAAAACGCACTAAAGAGTTACTTTACCAAACAATAACGAGTACTGTCCACGTGGTAAGGACCAGCACCAGGGACTGGACCTTCACAGTTCACTCAGATCCACTCGGGAGGGAAGGAGGAAGTCTGCTCTGACGAGGAAGAGGCAATCGGGTGATTCAAAAACAAGACGCGTTCAAGTGTGAGTTTAAGCACTTTCTGATCCACTCAAACGCAAAACAAAAGCCTTCCACACAAATGCAAAAAAGCTGCAACGCAACATTGTATCAGTAAATGGTCGTAAGTGCATAATGACACATTGCTTTATGGTAATGCTAGCTGACAATTCTCACATGTCGGTGTGTGGTATACCTAGAAATTCAAAGCAGGGCACTTGGAGAATCTCATCTGAAACGCACAGTGATTTGTGCTTCTGAAAACTACAGTTTATTTGTATAGAAAGTCTACTAAGATCTAGCTGTCGCGCCCTAGTGTGGATCCAAATGCTTTAAAACATACCATTTCTCACCTTCCCATAATAAATATCTTCCACAATCTTCGTCTCTGGCGCTTAAAATTTCCTTTCGCTTTTACATGCGAGAGAATAGCGCCCCGAAAATGGTCCCAGCCAGCTTTTCCCGAAACACAAAAAGTCATCACATCTGTTTCGTAAGTCTGTCACCTGAATACTTTCCAAATACACCAATGTTAGCTCGTTTGTGTTGTGTATATACTGTATATATGCGTGTATCCCTGCACTTTAATCTGCCTTTGTCGAAACCAAAATAAGACAACACTCAAGTATAGTGCTACGGCGGTCCCATTTCAAAACCCCAGCTTCGGGCCACAGTGAAATAAAGGCATATCGGTGACCCAGCGCGGTGCTATCGTCGCTCCGAAAGTCCTCTTCGAATGCCGTTTGAATGCGACTCAGCAACCATTAAGTCTCTTCCCAAAAAGGACCTCCTTAAAAGCCAGTAAAAAGAATAACTGTTTGTGTTTTGTTTTTTTCGTTTTGGAGGAAGGTGAGGGTTGCTTCAGAAATCCACGTCCCACCCGGAGTTGTCGTCCGGAGGCGGGTCTTCGTTGTCCTCTGGGAAACTGTCGAAGTTACTGGTATCGACTGCTGATGTCACCTGAGGGAGAGAGAGAGAGAGAGAGAGAGAGAGAGAGAGAGGAGATAGAAAGGATGGGAAAGTAAGGCAAATGTGATCTTTTTTTTGGTTGAATAGGGAAAATAGTTGTTACTTACAGTAGGTATGATTGGAGGTGTCAATGTCCCCTTTTTTAGACCCTCCCAGTTAAAGCCCTCAAACCATCTGTAAAAAAAATAGACAAATAAATGAACTATTAAGCAAAAGGCAAGAGCTGGATCTGGTCTGGTTTGAACAATCTAGGATAAGTCTAGGTCTAAATCAATGAATAATCAAAAAATGACATACTTAATAATTGAACCAGGACTTACTGTATTTATTCTAACTTTACTAGATCCATCTCACTCACTTTAGAAAACTAAAGTGAGTGAAAAATGTCCGTGAGATTTGTGATGTAATGTAAGCCTATTCTGCACCAAAAACCTTAATCAGATGAAAATTGTCCTGCAGAGTGTTCTTTTGTATACAGTATTTTTGTCTTTTACTCATTCACCAAAGCATCTCAAACATTGGAAGACAATTTAGGCAATTAATCGGCTTTTGAAAAAATCTAATTTGTGAAAAATGTGAAAATCGTGAAATCGAATGAAGGATATTGTGAGAGTTCCAGCTGCACATGAATTATACTTGCAATATCAGCACATCTGAACAAGACTATTATAATACGTATTGGAGGAAACAAATAAAAAATTGTTTTGAAATTTTAATATTGAGCGAAAAATCAAAAAAACTTAAGGGAAAAGCCTGTCTTCGATGACTTTAATGAAAATCGAATAAAAATAAAAATAAATAAAATCGAGATTTTACTTTTTTGCCATATCGCCCGGCCCTAAACTGAATACTCTACCATTCCATTTAAAAAAGGAATGGTAGAGCATGCAATTATTATTATTATTATTATTACTATTATTTTATTTTATTCATCTATGTTGAATTGAAATGATCATTTATGAATGGTGCTTTTCTTATGCATTTAGAAACCATAACCAAAAGAAGATACTCAAACACAAATGCTTTTCTATATGCAATTATCTTTGAGTATCTTGTTTTGGTTAAGTTTTGTATCTCGTCATGTACAAAATGAAAAAAATGTAATAAAAAAACTGTAAATAATCCACATCTGTAATAATCTGAAATATGAACACAGCTCGTCACACTCCTCACTTGTGCTTTTGGATGTCTTTGACACCATTCTTCAAGTTTCCTAGTCTTTCACAAGGATTATCCCTGAAACAGAAGAAAACGTGATATGGACGGAGGTGGTGTGGAGAGGCCAGGTTGTCATGGTGATGGCTGCACTCACTTGCATAGCTTTTTGATTAAATTGAGAGCGTTTTTGGTAATTTTCTTTGGAAAGACGATCATGTCAATGCCTTTAAGGATGATGTTGTAGGTTTTCATAGGATCTGTGCCGGTGAACGGAGGGCTGCAGAGAGAGGCATGTGTTATTATACAGCTTCATAATATCACACAGAGGAACTAGCACAGAGGTGTCCAACTCATTTTAGTCGGGGGCAAAATTGAAATGCATAAAAGCTGGTTGGGACCAGAAGTAAAAAAAAAATATATAATATTATCTTTTTTGGATTGGTTTGGATTCAACCAGAACTGGGTGAATTATCAAGAGGAGATGTATGTATTTGCTGAAGTCAGGGGTTTTTGTACTTAATCTTTGATTCTTCATCATTTTTGCTTCTTCATTTTCTTATATAGAACATTTTAAAACACGTTTCAAGTGTTGCACGGATAAAAGTAACATTAAAATATACAGCTTAATAAAAACTATTCAAATCAAATCAAGTCAATTAAAACAAACAAATACATATATCAATATACAAAAATAAACAGTGAAAAGAGAGATTAAAACAGTTTCAGGGGCCACAAAAATTCTCTTGTGGACCGATAATGACCCACAGGTCTGAGTTTGGCACGTCTGTACTGGTACATGTACTAGTATATGTTTTCTGCTCAGTACCTGCCAGTGAGGAGTTCGTACATGAGGATCCCTAAAGACCAGTAGTCGGCTGAAATGTCATGGCCCTTGTTCAGGATGATCTCAGGTGCTACGTACTCAGGCGTGCCACAGAAAGTCCACGTTTTCTTCCCGAAGCCGATTTTCTTGGCGAATCCAAAGTCCACCTAAGACACAGGTTATACAAGAGGCTTTAGTGTGTGCTGGCATGTTAAGTAAGTAAGTAAGTGAGTAAGAGAACATGCAAACTCCACTCAGAAAGTTTAGTAGGCTATATCAGTGTTTCCAAACCAGGGGTGCTCGAACTCCTAGGCCAGGGTGGTCAGACTGGTTGCAGAAAGGGTCAGTGTGGCTGCAGGTTTTCATTCCAACAAAGCAGGAGCACAGCAGACTCCACCCATTTCCTCAAGCAAGTCCAGTCATAAGCTGGATCCCTGAGGAAATGGGTGGAGTCTGTTGTGCTCCCGCTTTGTTGGAATGAAAACCTGCAGCCACACCGACCCTTTGAGGACCGGTTTGATACCTCTGCCCTGGGAGTGCACAGGATGTTCCAAAGGATTTTCAAAAACTTGCAAACATTGATAGTAAGAAGTATGTATATGAACTACAATGGCATGTTATACATCATCCATCCATCCATCCATTTTCTACCCTTTAATCCATTTCTGGGTCAGGGGGGTGGCAGTCAGAGATGCCACCCAAGTCTCATAGCACCAGCCCCTCACTGACCCTCTGCAGGTGGTGAGTCCACAGGAGGACGGCTGCTCTCTGAGTGTGAGCATAGCCTTGATCTTTCAGTGGGGGCTTTGGGCAAAGTGGGGTTAAGTGTCTTGCCCAAGGACACAACGACAGCAGTCATCAGTGGGAGTCGGTGGAGAAGGTGCAGAGGTGGGAATTGAACCCACGACCTTCTGGCCTTAAGGCCAATGCTCTACCAACTGAGCTACTGTCGCCCCATGTTATACATCATTGTGAAGCTAATTATTATATTATAAACATTGAATCCAGACCAGAATTAATAATAATACTTGGCTTATCAGTCTGCAATGATAAGCCGCTCTTGCTTTTGGTCCAGTTTTGGTTCAGTTCAAATCTAAAACTCTGAAACTGATATAATTTGGTCAAAATCCCTACATGTAATAAAATAAAAATAAAAAATAAATCGGTTTAAATCAACTTTCCACAAACAGATAGACAGATAACAGAGCGTGAACCTCCAGTCTACAGCGGTTCACAGAGATCACGGCAAGGACAGCTGTCAATCAACAGGAGAACGGAGCAGCACTGCGACTCCTCCGCACAGCGCTCCGAGGTCAGTGAACACCCGCTCATTGGTTCAACACTAGAACTCCCAGAGCAGACAATTTGATGGGTTTTGGATTAGAATGTTGTAATTACTGTACGTACATTTGTGATCTTTATAACTTTGTGACTTTTTCTGAATCTAGAAAGTATCTAGTTTCTTTTTGTCTATATTTTTCTGGTATTATTTTTCTCTTTTTAAATATAAGTTGTTTCTCCAAGGTGAAATGTCGGCTTTTTCCACCAAAAAGTGTGTTGCTAGTTATTAAACGCACTATTTACCTGCTAGAAGTCAGCATTTGACTGTTCTTTGCTGTATTTCAGTTTGATTCACCAGTTTTTTGCGCTTATTAAAAGTGAGTGACGGTAAAATGTATTGGTTTGAGTGGAGGCAGTTAAAATGTCGGCTCTGGGAGTTCTCATAGTTTCAGAATTCTGGGTTTTCGGAGTCCTAGTGTGAGGTATTGGTCCTGACTCACACTGAAGTCAGAGTTTTTGTGCACCCAACATAAAGCCAACATTAATTTAACAGTCCTGGGTGTTCGGGAAAGATTTTGTTCCCATTTTATAAAAGTGGTACTGGGCGTGCAGAAGGACAAACAGGTTGGAAACCACTGGGCTACGATACAACAACAGAGATACCTTTCAAGATTTCTTCTTTTGCTCCCTGTATATCTATGACTGTATATATTGTTAGTATTGAGTACCATCTCAAACCTCATGTTCCCCTCCCATCTGTAAATCTGTAAATATGCACTTCCTGTTTCTTCTTCTGCCTCTTGTATCTTCCACTGCATAATGTTAGTGATGTCTGTTTATTTCTATCAATAAGTTCTCTTCACATCTGCAAATATGGAAAAGAGCGGTATATCTGAACTAGGTATTTTCTTTGTTTCTCTTTTTCTGTATATTTCTATATCTGCAAGATAAAAAAAAAAAAGATTTCAAGATTCAATTTTTTGTCATCATCAGAGAGCAACAAAATTAAAGATGCAGTCAGTGATTTTTTCCAGACGCATTTTTTTGAATATTGTGGGAAAACGTCAAGTTATCATGTGTTTTCAAATAGTAATGGAATTGACCAGATGCGTATGGTCTCCAAAAATTGATAAACAATATTTTGGAGCGGACAGATAAACCAATGGGAACCATCCCTAACGAACCATTGGGATGTGTTTACCCTCTTCACCCTCTTCCTGTTTCTCACAAGTGCGTGCACCTGAGTTATCGGATTTTCTAAAACCTAAAATGGCTGAACAGAAAATGCCAATTTCACGTTTGCCACCCACTTTCCCTGTTGTGAATGCTGGATGTTTGGTTTGATGGAGAGGCGAGGGGAGGGGGGAGTGGTTTCGTATTGGTGCTACGGCTAAGCTAACAAAATTACTTACTTATCTTTAAGTTTCAAGCATCAACATCACTGTATAGTTTGCATTTGTTTCCCAAGATTATAAAAGTGCAAATACTACAGCAGAAGTCTGATCTCTGGGCCGCCATCTTGAGCAATTCTCTGTAACTATTCCATGGTTAGAACTCTTTAACTTTCCCCATCGTCCAAACAGATGCAGACTCTCACCAGTTTGGCGTAGCCTTTATGGTCCAGGATAAGGTTCTCTGGTTTGAGGTCTCTGTAGATGATCCCTTTGGAATGCAAGTAGGCGAAGGCTTCCACGACACACGCTGTGTAAAACCGAGTGGTGGATTCTTCAAAAGAGCCCCTGCAGACAAAACATACACAATATTCTGCTTTAAGGTTTTTTTTAAACATCTTGGTCAGAGTGCAGTTCTGCTTGTGCCTTGTACTTTTTATTCTTTGATGTCAATATATGTGAAAATATGTGTTGTGCAAGTTTGCAATTAATCATCTTTTAATTTATGTATACATTATTTTTGAGAGTTCCATTGGTCAAAAATTCTCAAGTTCTCAACAGTACAAGGCAACAAATAGAATGTAAAAGAAAGATTCCAGAAAAAAATAAAATAATTAATATATAAAATAAAATACTAATAATAAGAGTAACAATAATATGAATATGAACAACAATAATGATAATAATAATAATAATACTAATAATAATAATAATACTAATAATAACAACAATAATGATAATAATAATAATGATAACAACAATAATGATGATAATAATAATACTAATAATAACAACAATAATGATAATAATAATAATGATAACAACAATAATGATAATAATAATACTAATAATAACAACAACAATAATAATAATAATAACAACAATAATGATAATAATAACAACAAAAAATATAATAATAATAATGATAAACCACAGAGGTAAAAAAAGAAGAAACTCTCAATAAAAAATATGACTAGGTATTACCCAACTGTCTCTGGCCTGTCACCACAATTTGTTTTTTCTCACCTGTCTCTTAGGATGGTCCAGAGTTCTCCTCCTAGACACGCCTCCATTAACATGTAGAGGTACTTGCTGTCTTTGAATGTTCGGTACAGTCTGCAAACACAACACACACATGACAAACACAACACACACATGACGAACACAACACACCCATGACAAACACAACACACACATGACGAACACAACACACCCATGACAAACACAACACACACATGACAAACGGGACCCATAGAGGCAGGTGCTCCGTGTCTCTGGCCTCTCTCTGGTTTGTTTAAAGAATCCATCAGTCACTACTTGTTTATAACTGGCCATTTTCCAGCGTGGACTGTTTGCTCGGCCTCAGGTAAGCAGACAGTGAAGGAGTAGACTATAATAGCACAGAGGTCATTTACACTAGAATTCCCACAGCAGTCAAATTGACGGCTTTTAGTTTTGTTGGAAGTTTAAAATACTCAGCTTGGTGACTTTTTGTTCTCTACGCAGTTTATTCTAATGTCAGTACGTTCATAATTTTTTTTTTTTTTACTTCTTGAAAGTTGAGTAGTTCCATTGTAAGCCCCTTTTACAGGTGCTGGTTTTGGACTGGTCCTGGTTCTGAGCTGAGAAAATATCAGAGCAGCTCACTGTTTACATGCAGGAGTTAGCATTTAGCCATCCAACAACTACCCTGTTATTGCTGTTATATTTATCAATTTCAAACTGCTCTCTGCCATTTTTGTTGCATATAAGTAGCTCTCTAATTGAAGAGTTTGAAGACCCCTGCCCTTCGTGGTCGAAAGGCGTAGCTAGTCCCTGGTTCAATAAAGGATCGTTGTTTTACAGTCAAGTGTATGCAAGAGTTTTGCTTCTTTATTATGCTATAATTAGAGATAATATTTTCTATTTTGGCCCCGTCCACACACAGCCGGGCATCTGCTAAACCGCAGATATTTGTCTTTGTTTGCACCTGTCATCCACATGACAACGCATCATAAACAAATATATAAAAGAACTCCGGGCAAAGTGAAGATGTTTGAAAACTCTGTTTATGCATTTGCGTGTAGACAGAGAAGAGATTTGTGTTTTCGCACTACACAGTATGTGCCAAAACAACAACAAACAAAACGTGTGACCTCTGATCACTGAAGAAGGATTTTACTGCCTTAAAAACATCCTTGCTCCACATCAGAGAGCAGGAAAGTGATCACACATGCTCAAAAACAACCAAAACAGGAGCTAAACCAGGATTAAACCAGGACTAAACCAGGGCTGAGGACGGGGGTCAGTACTTGTAAACATATGTCTTTGCCCTGAGTTTCTATAATGACTGTAAAAGTGCCGTTACAGAAGTACTGGCGTCAGCATCAAAGCTCCGCCCACTTCTGTGTTTTTCCCCAACGCAGGACGTCAGAGGACGCACATGTTTGGAATGTCATGAATGTGATTGAAAACTCAGATGTTCGGTTTTGTGTGGACGCAAATTATTTTATAAACGGAGGGGGGGAAATATTCGGTTACAAAAATACCCGGCTCCGTGTGGACATGGCCTGAGTATAGACTTACTGTTCGACACTGACATTTTCCCACTGTGGGATGAAGAAAGGATCTCTAAATCTTAATCTGAAGTGTTTTAGATTTCCTCTTTTCTTACACGTTGCCCTTGACATTGTACTCGTGATTTTTTTCCCCCCAAAACAGGAGACGCACAATTTGGAGTTCCTTGTAAGAGACAGGTCCTGTAGATTAGTACCTAACAATGAAGTCGGAGTGCGCCTCCTGCATGATGAGCTTCTCCGAGCGGATGTGCTCCTGCTGCCGCGTGTCCACGATGTGCCTCTTCTTCAGGATCTTCATGGCGTAAGTCTTGTTCTCGTCGCTCTTCAGTTGCACCAGCTCCACACGCCCGAAGCCCCCCACCCCCAGCGTGTCGATGATGTTGAAGTCCGCCAGGTTCAGGTTGCAGAAAAAGGCATTCTCCTCCTCGTACCTGCGGCGAAGAAGAAGGAGAAGACGGAGAAGGAGAAGAAGAAGGAGAAGAGGAAGAAGGAGAAGAGGAAGAAGGAGAAGGAGAAGAAGAAGGAGAAGGAGAGAAGAAGAAGAAGAAGAAGGAGAAGGAGGAGAAGAAGGAGAGAAGAAGAAGAAGGAGAAGGAGGTGAAGGAGAAGAAGAGGAGAAGAAGGAGAAGAAGGAGAAGAAGGAGAAGGAGGTGAAGGAGAAGAAGAGGAGAAGAAGGAGAAGAAGAATGAGAAGGAGAAAAAAAGGAGAAGAAGGAGAGAAGGAGAGAAGGAGAGAAGAAGAAGAAAGAAGGAGAGGAAAAGGAGAAGGGGGAGAAGAGGAAGAAGGAGAAGAAGAAGGAAAAGAAGAAGAGGAAGAAGGAGAAGAAGAATAAGGAGAAGGAGAAGGAGGAGGAGGAGGAGAAGATGAAGGAGAAGGAGAAGGAGGAGGAGGAGAAGAAAAAGAAGAAGAAGGAGAAGGAGGAGGAGAAGGAGAAAGCAGAAAGGGAACAGGATTAGATGTGATGAAAGGCGATCCACTCCCATCGCAGTCGTGTGAAAACAGCAGCCTCGGTTCTGAGCTCATGTGTTTGCAGATCTTAAGGGATTACACCTGTTCTAATCTGTGGAGGATGTGGAGAGGATGTGTCTACGGTTCCACTGCAGTGATACAAGATTAAAAAGTCCATGTTTTCCAGCTCCCAACACATCCTTTATGACCAGTGTGAGAAATATACAGGTGAGACTCACAGAAATAAAATTGTGTTAAAAATCCCATTTACCTATTATTGATTTTTGCATTTACAACTATGTATTTATTGATGTTTGCATTAATGGATGTATTTCTGCTGATGGACTCATGAGTTTCTCCTATGAATAAAGATGAATAAAGTCTCTACTGTATCTATCCATCTATCTTCAGTAAATACCTACCTACCTTTGGTAAATACCTTATATCCATCTACTTCTATAATTCAACTTAAAATGTATAACTAATATGACGGACTCAAAGTGAGATCTGTCAAGCCTGTAGTTGATCATTATGGCTCACAGCTTCTAAAAACCCCACATTAAATATAATATAGACTTCCAGCCATAATCTTCAACATTAATATATAATATAATATATAATATAAATATAATATAATATTTTTGCTGAAATTGTAAAATCCTCTTCTTATTTCATAATCAGTTTTACCTGTTGGGTATTATGACAGTATGTATGCAACAAAATAACAAAGGCTCCCACTGTGGCCCCTGGTGTTCCCAGAGGTCTCTCTGGGAACACCAGACCCTGCCCTGCTTTGCTTCAGAGGTCTGAGGATCTTGCTTTCACACGCAGGTGGCGCCATGATACACACAAATATTACATTACATCCATGTTTTAGGCCTTTATCCCCACCGCTGTCAGACTGTACAATAAGTCACTTTAAATGATCACTGTGTGAAAACCTGCACTACTATTGACACTTGTCACTTTTGTACATAATTATTGTCACTTATATCCTGCATGTAACATGTTTGCACATTTCCTCCCTTTGCACAATCTGAGTGTTCTATCCATGCCAAATGTGACATGTAAATTTCTCCTCTGTGAGATAAATAAAGCACATCTTATCTTATCTTATCTTAATCAAAGTAGTTCAAGAGGATCTGTCTATAATGCTGAAGTTGGCTGGATGACATGAGTTATTTGGGTTAGCAACACAGGGCCATATGGACATTACACTGGAGTGGACTTGGAATGTGCCTGTTTTAGAAGTTCCTTTCTAAACGATAAGAATACATGCTCTGTACAGCACTTTTCTAACTGTGTTTACAAAGTGCTGCACAGTCAGCATTATTTACATTAGTACAAAGAACATTTTAAATGAAACAGACATGACTGCCTTAAAGTGCTTTCCAGACATTACACAAATAGATTGAACTCGGAAACTAAAAAAGAAAGCACTGCAAAAAAAAGATAAATTATGAGGTAATAACTGCTTGGATCGAGTGATTTTTAATCTTAATTTGAGTTCATTCTGACTGTCTTAAAACAAGATTTGTCAATGGGACAAGCCATTTAGGTTCATTTCAAGAATCTACAATAATCGGCTTGTTTTACATCACTTTTTGTAGCAAGAGAACAAAAGCGCTCTTGCCGTTTTGAAATCTGCTGCTTTATTTACAACAGTGACGTCAACAGAACTGGCAACGTCCCAATCCTTATCCCTTGATACCGCACGTCTTCTCTGGTTATTGTACCTCTCCGGTGTTGGGCTGCGGATCAGTGGGCTCAGGACAGCTTTTGATATTGGACGGACCTATCTGGGTCACTCCTAAAACACATCCATACCTCGACCAGGACGGAGGGATAGAGTACACCCTAACAAAAACCATATACGGGAAACAGCGCCTGCCTTTCTTCAAGCAACAGCTGGGATCGGTATCTGGAGTAAGATAAACAGTGACTCATTTGGTGAACACTGCTTCGGAATCCATGCAAAATTAGTCTCGCCTTTGAAGTGTGGTGAAAATGAGTGTGTGTGTGAAGGTTCCCATGGATAAACACAAAAGTTAAACCACAGAAAGTGAGTCGAACGCTAGTCAGGTTGACACACACACACATGGGCAGATTAAAAATGCTTCTCAGAAAAGCATTCATTTTCCATGGGCCGCTAACTGTTTGTGTGCGTCTCTATTGATTCTGTGATCTTTGGGAGGTTTAGGCCTGAGCTGTTTATCTTTAGTGATGTGGAAGCAGGCCAAGAAAAAACTGCAGATCCCGAAAGGCCCTCTGATTAAGGAAGTGACCAATAACAGGACGCCGTGACGGGATGGGGGCTTACGGGACAAAAGGGCACGGATTTGCAGACGGGAGCTGCCGAGTCTGATGACAATAGCTGTGTGGTGTGAGCATTGGGGGAAAACAAGCTACACTAAAAACGATCATGTATAAAAAGTGTAATTGGGGGAAAGCTATTTTTGCACTTTGGCACTAGTGATTATAGTGTAAGAAGGTCAATTACGCGGGGGAGCTTGGAGTAGAGCTGCGTCAAGAGGAGTCAGTTAGGGTGGCTCAGGCATCTGTTTCGGATGCCTGAGCCTGTGGAGCCCAGGGGAAGACCAAGGACAAGTTAGAGGGAGTACGTCTCTCAGCTGGGCTGATAATCCCTCGAGTTTCCCCCAGATGAGCTGGAGGATGCGTGTGAAGAGAGGGATGTCTGGGCGTGTCTACTCAGACTGCTGCCCCCTCGACCCGACAACAGATAAAGCGGAAGAAACAGGATGGATGATGGGCCCAATATATCTGCTGCACTGGGTTTATAACTGAATCTGCATGAATGGATGAATGATAGATGATTAATGGCTTGAGAGAATAACATTGTAACCAAAATAAGTCTTTTAAATTTCAGAGATACGAGGGATATTTCCTCTACAGACCTTGTGAAAGAGTACTTTCCCAGTGCATTGGTCTAAACCGTAATACAGTTTTCATCTCACACCCAATCTAAAATATTAAAAACCAAAAATACCACAAAGCCTGCAAACAACATTACAATGTACACATATGATATTTCCCCACTGAGGGACGAATAAAGGATCTCTTATCTTATTTGCGGCCTAATGCAAAGAACAGTGTTGCAGTACTGTAATTCCTCCACCAGAGGGCGGCAAAGCTCTTTTAGAGAAAGGAGATTAGCGACATACTGACATGTTGTGTTAAATTCTGTGCCAAAAACCCGCAGTAACAGCAGCAGTCGTAGTAGTATCAGCAAAAGTACCAGTAGTAGTAGTAGCACAAACAGCAGCAGCAGGAGCAGTTGTAGTAGTAGTAGTAGTTCTGTATTAGTTCTAGAATGATACATAATGCTGTTTCGTAGCAGCTGATTGGCTCCTCTGTTTTGTTTCACGTTTCTCTCTGAAAAAGCTGATATAAAGATGAGACAGAAACCAAACACACTGTGAAAACTAGTGATGGAACCAAACTGTTCTGGAGAATAACTGACATGAAAACCAGGGCTGATGATTCAGATTGTCATGTTTCTAGGAGTGACATAGTTTGGCAGTGCTAAAAATACAGCACGTATCTTGTTTGTTTTTTTTTTTTAAACATTTTGGAGACGCCACCAGGATGCTCCCCCCCGAGGAGAACACCAATTTATGCAGGTGAATGTGTCTTTTCCTCTTTTACTTTTTCGCTTTTACTTCCCCTGTTGAGAGACGACGCGGCTAATAAACACCAGCATGTATCTTTTCTGCAAAACAGTTATTAAAGCTGGGGGACCTAACTTTTACATTTTCATTAATAATGCATTGTGTTAGTCCCAATGGAAAGAGTCTTCTCTAAGTCACACTTTGTCAAAAATCATGCCACAACACTGTCTTCATCTTAATTAAAACTATTTTGTGTTTTGCTGAACAAAGTGGGAATAACTTATTTCTTTGATGTTTTTTACAGTGAAGCAGATACATATATTCAAAGTGAATGTTGCCCAGTACAGCTTTATGACCCACTAACACTGACCCTGCAACCACCAGTTGAGAACCACTGTTATAAGTAATATTATATTTGTGAATCATAAATAGGGTTTGCATTTGCAACTGAGGGATTTTGTCTTTACTCTTCTCAATGTATGATGATTATTTATGATTTTAATGCCTTGTGTGATCTTGTTTTGTCCAGCACTGTGAGTAGTTATATAAACAAACTTGCCTTGCCTTTATTAACCAAAATGTTACCTAAAACCCACGCTGCGTATGCCGGTAATAATGACAGAGCAGCAGTTAGATTTTGGCCTAATCGTAGTGTAAATGCTTTGATGTGACAGATCAGGGGCAGAGCAGACCCAGCGACTGTGGCTTCGGTCCAGATTCCACCGGGAAAAAGGTAAAACTCACCGTGCAAAGTGACTGAAGTGGCATTAAATGGATTTTGGATTTGCTTTTGAAGGAGCCATACGCAGCCTCTCCAAAGACGTCAGTTGGCAGCTGGTCGTCACTGCCAGTCA